GACTCCAACTCGGCCTGAAGGTGTCGGGCACCGCTGCCGTGGTCTCGTGGCGGTGTGTCTGCGCAAACATTGAGCGAACCAAGTTGTGAGTCATCCAATTCATGAACCTAATGGGCCATCGCTAATTGGTTGGAGGCCATCGCTATTATCAGGTCGGATGCTGGGGCCATCGCTATTATGCTATTAAATACGCGGCTGACAAGGCGAACAAAACGGCTTGCTCTAAAGTTACAGCCTTGTGGCACCCCAAAAGAATGGTCCACTCAAAAATTGCCGCTTCCTCTGTCTGCAGTGACTCCGTTGAACTCTCGCTTCCATGCACTGCCCTGGGGGAGGTTTCATACAACAGTATTTGCGCACTACTGCCACGCCATCAAGGTCTATGCAGGTATGGTACAATGTTATATAACCTGAGACAAGAGGGGACGAAAGCCAGCCTTTGTAAGAACACATCAATGTGGTTATGGGGTGAATCCGACAGCGCACTGGAACTGCTGTCAGGAATGGGGAAATAGAAGGCAGAGGCGGAAAGTCTCGCATTGAGCCGATATGACAGGCTCTTTACACACAAGGTTTCGATCAAGGCCCATTAGCGATTATAAGATAGAAGTGGAGCCCACGCGTTGGGAAATAAGTTAAGTGACATTGACTTGCGGGGGGAGAAAGGTCGACTTGAGAAGGACATTCACAGGTCGGGGGTGCCCTTCTTCTTTTGGTGCTCGGGCGTCTTCAAGCTGAAAAAGGGCACCCGTTCCTCTGATGGACTCATAAATTCAGCGTGTTGCTAAGAGTGGATCGATGAAAGCTTACTGCCAAGTTCTAGTGATTGCCTAACATAGGGCAAGGATTGCTGTTGTTATGGGGTGAAGTCGACTTTGCACTGACGTCTACTGCTGTTAGAAATAGAAGTCGGAGGGGCGCCCTTTTCTTTTGGTTCAAGGGCGTTTTCAAGCCGAAAAGGGGCACCCCTAAGTAACTGAGGGGCGCTTGCCTGCTGCTTGTTTCTCTTGTCTTGTAGATGGACTCATCACCTCGGCGCGCTGCCAAGAGTGGATTTCCGACCTCTTTTCCTGTCACGTTGTCCCCTTCCCTCTTCTACAGGTCACGTTCTCGCTCGCGTTTCCTTTCACTTCTATTACGCACGAGAAAACAGAGGGCTGAGAGACGCACCTGTCACTTTCCTGGTCCACATGAACTCCCACACTGTATGGGGCGCCCTTTTGCATCCAGTCAACAACCTTCTTCACCATAAAGGGGCCGCCAGACTGCATTTTTTCCCTGAATGGGTGACATCGTTTCTTGCGCCCCCTTCCGCTCTAATTTTCCTGATGGATTTCCGACGGATTTTCCTATCACGTTGTCGAAAGACTGTGGAGTAGATCAAGATCAGAGCACAGCATGAAGTGTTGACGGCTTTAGGTTTTCTCGATTTTCTTGGCGCGGTGCTCTCTGGAGCGTCCCTGTTTGGTGGTCTATTTGAGAATCCGTGTAGAAATAAACGTCAGTGACAACCAGGAGAAGGATGCCCGAAAGGTGGTTTTTGGTTGTTTTGAAATGTGTTTCGGGCATCGTGCATCAATGCGAAGCCCTATAAAGAGCAGGGCTGGGAGAAAAAAAGAGGAAAGCACTCATTCTTGAATGGTTGCAGTTTTCGTGGAGCTGGTATCACTGCGACGTAGATGAAGATCGGTGCACAGCATGAAGTGTTGAATGTTTTTAGTTTTGATTTGCTTGGCGCGGCGCCTTCTGGAGCGTCCCTTGTTGGTGTTCTATTTGAGAACCCGCGCAAAAATAAACATCAGTGAACACCAGGAGAATGATGCCCGAAATGGTTATGTGGTTGTGTTGAAATGTGTTTCGGGTGTCGTGCATCAATGCGAAGCCTTATAGAGAGCAGGGCTGGGAGGAAAAAATAGCAGAGCACCTATAGTTGAAAGCTTGTAGTTTCGTGGAGCTGGTATCACTGCGACTGAGATCAAGATCGGAGCACAGCATGAAGTGTTGAACGCTTGCAGCTGTCTTGCTTCTCCTCTTGCGGCGCTCTTGTCCCCAAGCCTCTACCAGGCTGAAGGTTCGCCATCCCAACTTTTACTCTACGCTACCAGACCTTCCCTTCAGATCGCTGGCTTTCGGGATACATGCTCTGCATGCAAGATATTCTGTCTGGCATATCTTCTGACGTATTATCTGGCATATCTTCTGACATTATTTCTTCATGATGCTAATGATGCACTACTCGGCGTCACTTACATCATCCCCTTTATTCACTTCGTTCACCCTAAAAAACTCAAGCCTTGCCTATCGACTGGCTTTCGTAATTTATATATATATATATACATATTGAGGTCTATTCCTTTCGCTACTTGGTTGTCAAATCCGTGGGTTGCCTGGCTGCAGCACCATGGAATGCACCTGAGTTGTAGAAGGTGACTTTTCTGCCAAAGCAAGTACGCATCTCATTTTGCTGCAAAAAAGAAAAAACATAACAAGCATGTCAGGTCGGAATCACCACGAGGGGAGCCCTTCATGACCTTGAGAAGACCTGAGAGTTCCTGTCAAACCTCACCCACTGGACATCTGTCACCGACTGTCACTGTCTAGGCACATGGTACTGCTTCGTAGTCCCAGGCCGGGATGCCACAGATTTACATACCAAAAGCGGCCTTCCACGGCCCAACAATTGAGCACCTGCAACTTTCGTTACCAAAAAACATATATGTTTATATGTTTATATAATATAGATGATGACAAGAAGGACAAGAGCTTCATAGAGCTTCTCTTGCGGTTGGGGGGCTCCACCTTTTCACACGGAACCGAACAAACGCAATCTGACGCAGTTGTCATCAAAATCACTTCGGCCTTCTGAGAAGCATCGCTGATCAACCTCAGCGCAAGCAAGATGTTCACTTCACACCTCAAAGCACCTACGGCCTACGGCGGCCTGCATGGACAGAAACAATCAAACTATTGACCGCAAAAAAACACCATGAGTCACCAAGTCCTCCATAGCCTAGCTAGCCGGGGCACAGCATAGCATCCGTCGCTGCTTGGATGTCATCGCCTTTCTTCTGTCGAAATTGCTTGGCACCTCCAGCCTCCAACAGCTCCTGGCAGATGAGAAATATCACTAACACGACCTCAGTTGCAGACAATAGAGTCGAGCGCAGCCAGTGGTTCCAGAAAGAGGACAAACGACAAACAGTACAAGTAGTGGAAACAGGGAGGAGCAAAAAAGCAAAGGCATATGTTCAGAGGATGTTAGTGATGTTGTCGTTTGACAATGATGCTTTAGAGTTCATTGATGTTCATTGCATCGGAATGCATCGGATGTTTGCAAATCAGCATTCACGTGTCGGGCAATTCGTACGGTCCTTCGGTCCTTCTCTTTGGAGTTGAAGCTTTGCCACATCAACGTGCCATCCTGCGGCGGGGAACCTCCATCCATCAGCATCAAGGTAGCAGCTGAGCTGCGACGAAACTGTGTGAAGCCCTGGCCGAAGAGCTGCTCTTGGATTGGTCGACGTCTTGCTGTTTCGTGCTTCCTCTGGTCTTTGTTTGCTCACACTTCTGTCTCTGATGGGAGCTCCTTTTGGTGACGGAAATAGCGAGAATTGTGATGTAAAGAATTGATAACAATGGAAAATATCAAGCCTGCAGGTACTTCTCCAAGCAGCTAGGCATGCAAGAACCGCTGTTGCAATCCTCACATGGCTTTGGGCCTCAGTTGAAGTCGGTCTAACACTATCGAGCTGGAAACACTATCGAGCTAGCTGTGGGTCAAAACTGGGGGACCCCGGTTGACCACAGAAAATGAACAGAATAGACTAGTAAGGAGATCAAAATACCAGTGGAGCTAGCTTTCTGCTCATTTCATCGAAGGTCCTACAACTTCAACGGTTGCTTCAAACAGCCGAAGTCGACCGGGCCGAGCGAAGTCGACCGCCGACAATGTCGTCTGGGTGACCGAGTTACGCTCCCAGAAGCATGCAAATTGCATCTCGCAGCTCTGACGCTCCCCAAGACTCTGGCATTGAGCCTGACAGAATTGAGAGACGGGAGACCTCAGTAGCTTCTAGTTACTAGAAGCAAGAATGCTCCTAGTAGCGATGCCAGGAGCCCCTAATAGCGTCCTTGCTCCTAGTATATAGCGATGCCCTTTGCTCCTAGTAGCTTCTTGTTCCTAGTATTGAGCCTGACAGAATCTCAACTCGCATCATCTTGCATCTCTCAACTTCCGATTGAGCAAGGTGTTGGCAGATGATGGTGCATGGCATTACATGTCTTCATCCAGGCCTTGAATTCGGAGTGCGCGGAGCTGCAGCTTTCCTGACCACTTTGAATGAACCATTCTAGTCCAGGGCCAAACCCTGTCAATTTGCTGGATCTTTCGCTTGGGAAAGAATGCAAACGGCACACCAATGGCCTTCCCTTGAATTCCTCAACCCACCCGCATATATACACACCAAAAAATAAAGTACCTCACACCGCACGATCATACATGGCTTGAACAGTTTCGGCAATCCGAACTGAAACACGATCCTCGCAGCTTCCACAGCAGCAGTTGCCCGCAGCGGTGGCCAAAGCCGCCAAAGCAAGGCGTCGGCGCATGAGACCATTGCTCAAAGGAACACTTTCAAGGACTGAAAGAAGCTTCGGGTCTGTTGAAAGTTTCGCTGAAAGCTTTGGGTCTGAGGGGTCAAAGGTCTGGAGGTCTAGGAGCAGCTCTACATTTCTGCTGCCTCTTTCTCTGTGGCTGTGGTGACCTTCATCAAGCAGAGTGGATCTTTAAATAGATGGGTGACCTTCATCGCTTCTGCTCTCTGTTTGACACTTTGGTCTTGATTGGCTCAGCATGGCTGGTCAATGTGGACTAGGCCTAGGCGGACTTTAACACAAATGCACGTCCTTGTCATAGGGAAGCACCAAATCCTTTCTCCTTTCACCGTTTGAATGGGTGATCAATGGAGATGAATCGTCAATAGTCAATCTTCTCACCGGGCCTGGATGCCCGGATTTCTCTCAAAGAATTTGGTTTGATCCACTCCACTTCTGCTTTCGGCACTGGAGTCCACGTCCTCAGAAAAGAGAGCTGCTTGGAGTCAATAGATCAATGCACACTGCCCCAATACCTTGCTACTTGTAGCATCCTTGCTACTAGCTTCTTGTTAGCTTTTGTAGGTCATCAATATATAGACTCAATGTATTGACCAATCTGTACTGGTCGATGATTATTGTGGAACATCGTCAACTGAAAGCCTCGAGGCCTCGAGAGCGGTGTTGAGCTCACTCACAGGCGTCCAAACTATGATTCAAGGGTTCCCCCGCAATAAATCCTTTGTGGCAGCATCCATCTAGATATGTATACATATATCCATCTTCCATCCTATTTCTAAAGGTAGGTGACATTTGTCAAAAAGTGCAAATTTAAATTCTTTCGAGATTCTGGTATGCGGCACCACTCATTTGACGGCACCTAAGCGGCAAGCAGCGGCACCTCCATCTTGAATCGTTGAATCAATTTCAAGTCCGCCAGAGTCACTCAAGACATTCCATTGGACAGCGGTTTGGAAGGAAGAGGTTTGGACAGCTATCTTGAACATTTCCATACATTTCCCCGTTGCATTGCATGCAAAAGAAAAAGGCACAAATCTTCTGGCCTTCATAAAGAGTCTTTGTGGTGGGGATTGAAACTCCAGAATCAGAATTGTAGAGGAACAAAAAAGATCAACAAAATCAGAAGGCCCCTTCAACAAGGCCCAATAAAGGAGCATTTATCCTCGTTTTTTTGTCGTCTCTTTCTTCCCTCCCAAACTAATTATATACTGACTCGGGCACATAGAGCAGTGGCAGTGTTGCATCTCTCTCGGAAGACGCTGGGTCCTGGCACGACTGAACTAGCCAAAATCCAATCATTGCTCCTAGTAGCGTCCTTGCTTTAGTACTCCTTGCTCCTAGTAGCGATGCCCTTTGCTCCTAGTAGCGTCCTTGCTCCTAGTGACATCTTCCCTTTCTTTTGTTGCTCCTTGAGAATCCTTAAGATCTGTCTCTCCAAATATTAATGCCACAGGCTACAAGCAGAAAAACGGATTAAAAAATGCGGATGAAAATTGTGGCCAAATAATACAACATCAATATGAGTATGTGTTTGGTCTGTACCTGCCATCATGTTCATTGATGGTGTCTTGCAACAGGAGGATCCTTAGATCCTTCACAGTAGCTGTGGAAGGTCTCTGGATGTCCTGAAGCGGCAGGCTCCGCAAAGACAGGATCCCGAAATTGGGAGTTGTGGACGTGATTGGATGCTCACCATCCTCAGATTGAGCAGCAGGAGCATGCAGGAGCCAGGATTTAAAGCAACGCCAAAACACCTGAATGGTCATGCAGTGCGGCTAAACTCACATGCTGCTTCTATGCGTGAAGGAGAAAGGACCAAGCTGGCTCGATTCCAACATGACCTGACTGCAAAAATATTGCATCTCGGGTGGTCGACAGTGATGCGGTCGGCTGGGTTGCCACGCCCAAACAAAGGCCCAAATGGTGCTGGCGACTGAGTTCCTATGTCCTGTCACAGTGCTCTTGAGTGCTCTGTGCGCTTTACCGGCTCTACCCAAATTATGGGATGTGGAGGACACCAAAACCAAGCCAGCATTGTTCAACATTAGCAAGAAGATTGATTTGTTTGCAGCTCTTTCTTCCTGTCTTCCAGTCCTTGTCTTTCTTAACTAGTTAGATTTGTTTTAAAATTGTGTGGCCGTCTTTGATTGAAGGGCCTTGGGTCTAGGACGTCACTAACAAGAGCGCTTTCATGCGCTTTCTTACTGCTTCACTCTGGTTTAATCTGGCTCAAAAAGGCTGTGGGACATTGTCGAAATGGACGGCCCATCAACCAGGAAGCCAACAGAACTGTTTTGATAAGGTTCCCAACATGTTCCCAGTATTTCATTGAAAATCTCTGCTTCTCCTTGAGCTTTGGAGAGACCTCCTTTGGGAAGCTTGCATCCGACAGAACCCCCGCTGGCAAAAGAGAGCAGCGGACCTCGAGAATTGTGGGGCTCTGTGCCGCAGGTGATGAAATGAAGGCAAGCCAGTTTGAACCCAACTTGTGATGCTTAGCTCATGCTCATCTCAGCACCGTATTTCGGTCGTGATCGACACACCGGTCGCCCACAGTCGAAGCTGCGTCTAAGGCCGCGTCAGTCCCTTCCAGGTGCAGGGAGACGAGACAAATGCTGCCACACCTCAATTATGTTCCAAACGCTGCCACACCGCAAGTCAAAGCTCTTTATCATGTTAAATGCACGTTAGTCCGCTTACAATCAAAGCTGCAAATTAGTCAGATTCAAGTCTCCTCAGCTTTACACGACTGGCAGAAATGCCGTTTGACTTCTGCATTCACTGTGCCTGCAAGGCAACTCTGAAGGACAGAATAAACTGTTGATTTGCGAAAGAAGTGGCACTCTAGACACAAAGTAATAGTAAGAGCCAACAGACAAATCTTGATATGAACCACAGAGTGCATTAGCAAGACGTGTTTTTGTTGAAATGCGGACATGAAAAAAGGTATCCGCGCCTGCAAGTCCAGAGCACATGGAGAAGGGGCCCTCCTTCAAAGAGCCTGCGGTCCCAAAGCACCAAAGTTGCTGCTGCTTTTCCCGAAAGCACTGCGAAGGGTTCTTCCGGAAAATCTCTTGAACACTTCACTTCACACTTCACACTTACACTTGAACACTTATACACTTACACTTGAACACTTACACTTCTATACTCACAATGGCACAGAAGTGTCCAAGTGAAAGTTTGTAAGTGAAAATGTGCAAGTGTAAGTATCCCAGCGTAAGAGTGAAAGCATCCAAGTGCAAGTGTGCAAGTGTAAGTATCCCAGTGCAAGTATGCAGGTGCAAGTAAGTATCCCAGTGCAAGTGTGCAAGTGTGAGTATGAAAGCTTTCTCTTCAAAGGCGGAGGGTGGGACGAACAGCGTCAACCGAAAATGAGTGCGCGAAATGCAAGCGAGAGCGCGATTCATCATGGACGCGGGCAGCCCTCTGCGGAGATCGCGCGCGTCGAGCGCGCGAACTGCAGGCGAGAGCGCGACTGGTCCTGGACGCGCGCAACCCTCTGCGGAGATCGTGCGTGTCGAGTGCGCGAAATGCAGGCGAGAGTGCGATCTGTCCGGTACCCGCGCAACCCTCTGCGGAGATCGCGCGTGTCGAGCGAGCGAATTGCAGGCGAGAGCGCGACTTGTCCCACGCGCGCGCGTATCTGGGGAGCTGGAAGATGAGAACTGGCGACTTGCTAGTACAACTTTAGTACGCGGAGCAAGCTGTGGAGCTGGAAGCTGAGAACTGGCGACTTTGTAGTACAACTTTAGTACGCGGAGTATGGGGAGCTGGAAGATCAGAACTGGTGACTTTCTAGTACAACTTGAGTACGCG